CACACATGCATCAAAGCTCTGAGTTTTAATAAGGTGGCAGCAGGACTGCCAGCCATGGTGATGAATCAGCATGTCAGCGTAGGTGATTATTGTGTGTGTGTAACTTGTGCCATGAGCTGTACACACTGATAAAGACATAGTGTGCACATGCATTTAAATGTGTGGCAGATCTGTGCATACACATAATAATATCAGATTCAGTATTGCGGTTCTGCCACATGATGCAGGTAAATTTAACTGCATCATGTGGCAGAACCAGACGGGTTTAAATGGTAAAATACGCTCACAAACACTGTGGTCACCTTTAAAATCTAACAAGTGTAACAACAAACCCATCTCTATCACCCTCAGCTTGTGGTCGTCCCTCCCCATTGACCAGGGTGTTCACGTCAACTGGCTTGGAGCGTATCGTGGGTGGAGTAAACTCTGCAGAGGGGGAGTGGCCTTGGCAGGTCAGCCTCTATTTTGATGGTCACCTGTACTGCGGTGCTTCTGTCCTCTCCACTGATTGGCTCGTCTCAGCTGCTCACTGCTTCAACAAGCAAAGGTCAGCCAAGCTCGCTGGTGTTCTTATGAACTATAAGTATTCTTTTAATTTAGTAATAACATTGCATCAATTACTCTGAGCAGCTGGTTTACTTGCAAGCCCACTGTTTTTCACAGGTTATAATCTGCCAAAGACCTCACATGATATTTTAAAGTTAGATTAAAGATTATCAATTCATCAGCTCAACTCATCTTTCTTTTAGCTGTGTAAGATCTAGTTTAGTAAGTTCCAGTTTATACAACCTGCTTCTTTAATGTCCCTGAACTTTGACCTCTGCAGGCTCTCTGATCCACGTTACTGGCGCGCCCACCTCGGCATGCTGACACAAGGCAGTGCCAAATACGTGGTGGAGATACAGCGGATCGTGGTGCACGAGTATTATAACGCTCAAATGTTTGACTACGACATCGCGCTGCTGCAGCTGAAGAAGCCTTGGCCACCCTCCCTCAGCCCGCTGGTCCAGCCTGTGTGCCTACCGTCCTCCTCCCACACCGTCACCGACAGCCACCGCTGTGTAGTGACTGGGTGGGGATACCGAACTGAGGATGGTAAGTACAAGCAAAGTCTGAGAATTTTTACATCTGTCCATCTACTTTTTTTTGTATCTGTTTATTTAAATTTAGGATCCAAGGGGGCTGGAACCTACCCCAGCTGTCACTGGGTTAGAAGCTGTAAGATCCTCGAGATATATTTGGCAATAACAATTCGAAAAACATAAAATATTTAATTTTAACAATCTGGACAGCACCTTTATTTTAGTTTAGGACAGTGCTATAAGACGCAAATGATATTTAATGCTGAACTATTTGTTTTTTGACCTCAGAGACATAAACAATAAATGCATAAAATGTAGGCCCATTCTTAGGGGACTCATTTAAATTCACCTCTTTGTGAGGCAGTTACTGACAAATGCCTTCAACTGTTGATTGCATGCATGTCATGTTTCCCAAGATGATCCAAAATATTTCGGATGCAAACAAATGAAGTTTTAAATAAAGACAAAAAAATTATACATACATACATGCTTGCAAAATACAAACAGAAATATGTAAAAGAAATCCCATAGAAGTAATACAAGCCTTTGATTTGTGTGTGTGTAAAGCAAAAACAACAACAACAACAAAAAAGCCTGAGCTTAAGGCCTCAGTGAATAGGTGACATTTGAACTGGTTTTTGAAAATCCCAAAGATGAGGCATTGTGGATTTGGGGGTGGTCAGAGTTAGTGCGGGCAGCAACAGGACCACAGTATGGTGTGGGGGATGGAGAGTCGGCTTTTGTGGACTACAAAGGTCTGAATGAGCAGTGCGGAGCAAGGGCTTGTAGAGATTTATAGATGACGATGAGGTTTTTATAGGAGATACCACCTGACCAGGAGTCAGTAGAGGTGCACAAAGCTGAGGATGATGTGCAGCTGAGTTTTAAACATCCAGCACATTGTTAGGCAGGACAAGACATCATTGCAGTAGTCCATTTGGGAGGTGATGTGTTGTCTGATATGTGGTCCTCATCTCGCTGCTCTGCAGACACGGTGCTTTCCTTGGTGCTACAGAAAGCAGAGGTGTCTGTAATGAGTCAAACGGAGTGTAAGAAGCAATACGGAATCATCTCACCACGCATGCTGTGTGCTGGAGTCCCCTCAGGAGGGCGGGATGCCTGCAAGGTATGCTCCCATCCAACTGAAAAGACTCACATGCATTTCTGTGCACATTAGTGAGTGAATCATTGCAAGTTACTGTTGTGTACTCTTCGTATCTCAGGGAGATTCGGGTGGCCCTTTGTCATGTCAGGCACCAGGCGGGGGTCGCTGGTTCCTGATCGGGATTGTCAGCTGGGGGTCTGGTTGCGGCAGACCAAACCTACCCGGGGTCTACAGCAGGGTCACAAAGTTCACCTCTTGGATCTACAGCCATATCAGATGACACAGTGAAACTCATCCATTCCCAGCACAATATTCCAAATAAAAACATCATTACTGGATACCTTGTGTCCTGTGTTGTGTATTTTTTGCATCCGATAATTAATAGTTTACGGATGTTATAAAGTGCCGTTAATCTCACATACTGAATAAAAGCTCACAATAAGTTTTTGTCCCCTAAGGACCATCCAAGGGCGCAGCGGCCCAGCCCCAGTTGTAATACCTCACACGTTTCCCTCAAACACTCTTTTGTCCCACGGAGCTGAACTCCCACATACACAGCAAGGAAGTTTGCCCACAATATCTGTCGCACGGATGGTTGTGCGGATTGTACCCTTTCATAGTGCTCTCATTGTGCCCGCACTGCATTCTGGGGCTCCGTGTGACACCTGCCGCCAGGTTCAGGTAAATGGGAGGCAGTGAATGCCCGCTGCATCCGAGCCCCCTCGGGTCAGGTTTCGGTGTGGGGATTTTTTTCCCCCTTCTTTTTTTTTTTTCCCAGAGGAAGCGACAGCGGGGATTTCCTCTCTCTCCATCGTTTCTATGCCCGGGGTATTGTTGCATATCGCCTCTCCGGAGCTAAACGGGACAGTGCTATGTGGACTCTCCCCAAAAGCAAGATTTGTGAAGTGTACTGCGTCTCCGGGCATGGACACTCAGGCTACGCTGCTCCACAGGTAAGCCATCAATGCGTCTCTTTGAAACCTTTCTGCGAGAACTGTTTTTTCAGCATATTGTAACTCTTTAAGTCCGTCTGCTTGTTTCACCCCCTTTTTATTCCCCCAATACAAAAGGGCTGCATACTATTTAGAGTCCATCAGACTCTTACTTATGATTCCTCTTAAGTGTAAAATCTTGCTCTAGATGTCTCTGTGTCCCATTCTTATGAATGTCCACATCCAAGTGGGCCACTTGATTGAGTTGCTGACACTGCACAGCCAGGCCGTGGGAAAGCAGACCACTCCAGCCACTCTTTGTCTGCTTCCCTGGGGGAAACCTGCCAAGTCCTTAAATGTCTTAGTAGATCTTTTAATCTGAAGGATGTTCTCCATTGCTCTCTGAAAATCAGCATCCGGCTCAGTCAAATGTTTTTCTACTGACTTTGTGGTATATAGATTTCATTTTCTTTACCATGAAAATAACAATTAGAAGCAATTTGAGACATAAAAACCTTGTATGATATTTGAGTCGTGTCCTTGTCTTTGAAAGGGAGAAGGGAACTTAAAGCCCACCCATTCACTGAGCCCCCCCACGAAGCCTGAGGATCAGGCAGAAGAGAACGTGGAGGGGGTAAAAGCTCCAGTGTGTGATTCCTGGAGGAGATGGATGTTGGGTCTCTTGCCTTTCTTTCCCTTTATTGCAGCCATTGCACTGACACTCCACTACTTAACATGTGAGTACGGAGCTGCAGGAGATTTTTCTGGTCCATTCCTTTGGTGTTAAATGTTATTTATTTTGAGTCGCACGGTGCGCCTGTCTCAAATCTCCCCCTCCTGCTCCACAGCTCCGCCTTGCTCAGTGTTCTTTCTCGGAGGCAGCGTGGAGTTCCCAAACCTGAGCTTCTCCTCGGAGCTGGCTGACTCCACCTCCCCTCAGTTCCGCCTGCAGGCTCAGGCTTTGAACCATTATGTAAGTGGAACGGCGATCCTGTCTGTCACTGCCTCCCCTCTGAATGACACTTTAGAGTGCTGCTTGACCTTCCTGCCCCTGGGCTGAAGCTGATCTTGTTGTTGTTGCTCTGACTTTGATATCCTTCTCTACAGCGGGTTACTGCTTCTTTTTATGTCGCACATTCAAAACACAGCCGCTCTCCTCCTCCTCCTCTGTCCTTGCTTTCTTATTTGTAGAGTTTCTCCTTATCTACTTCAGCCTCCCATCTCCGCTCTTTTTTTTTTCTGCACACCACTTTCTTCTGCCCCTTTCTCTTTCTCTCGCTGGTAGTGTTAAATGTAAAGCTGTAACAAGAGCTGGGCACAGTGTGTGTGCAGGTTCCTGAGACCCCCAGGGGACAGGGCCATTTCAGGGCTGAAGACAAGCCCAGTATTTGTGAGCCTAGCTAGCCTCAGGCAGCAAGAGTGAGAGGAAGAGCAGGCCCTCAATAAAAACGTTGTCTGTGTTGCTTTCACACAATCAGCTACTCTGTGCACCGGACACTACAGAGAGCAGGTGAACCTCTGTTTGATGCTGGGGTTAAGAGCTAGAGACAGGGCAGTAGGGTAATCTGGAATGACAGAAGGGCCGAGGGAGATATGATTAGATTTTTGGAGCAGAAGGTCAGGTATATAGCAGTGGATCTGACAGTAAATTGATAGGTGAAAATTCCACCAAACACTGCAGTACCATAGTTTAACATCCCTGTAAGCAGCTGCAATGGCAATTTAGCTTCTTTGTTAAGTGGTCACAGTATCTCTGTGGCCATCTGTTCATTAAAGAACAGGTGAACTGAAGGCCAAGAGCCAATACCACCCAGTATCTTACCTCTTCACAGCGGGCAGGAAGGGACACAAAGGAGCTCTGTGCAGCTCAGAGTCAGCACGCACACATAAAGAGTCTCATACACACAAACAAGAACAAAGCATTTGCACAACCAGGTGTATTTTCATGTCACCTCAGTGGAAAAAGCCATCTCGCGTGCAATTTGTGATGTCACCCCCCCACACCTTTATTTTTTTTTTAAACGCAGTTCTCAGACCTCTACAAGTCCTCTCCGTGGAGCCCTTACCACGTACGCTCAGGAATTACTGCCTTCAGGTATGCTACACCTAAACAAAATCTGCATGTGTGTTGCAACAGTTCTTGCATGCCAAGAACGTACATGACAGCAGCACGCTGAGATCCAACCTCTGTGTGTGATAGTGAAGGAGCAGAAGGGCTCACAGTCTTCTACTGGAGTAAATTCTCTGCCCCAGACAATGTTGCGATGGAAATTCAGACTTCCAGCCCAGAGAGACTTCAGCGGCGGCTTCCCGGGAGCAACAAGATTCAGCGGGAAAGCCGCAACGAGCAGCGCTACTTTATGCAGCAAGATGATGACATACTTCACTTACTGGGTAGATAAAGTACTTTTACTGCAAAATGATTTTCTTTTAAACAGAAATAACATAGTTAGACTTTCATAAACGCCTAATTATGTACCCAAGTTTTAGATTTTTGATGCTTGATTTGTTTCTTTTTAGGTTTGGACCCTGACGACTTTGATCCAGATGAAAGATCTGACAAAATCAAAAATCCAAATAGTATCCAGGGCGGGAAATGGCAGCTTGGCTTCCAAGGTGAGGACAGTGCTCTTCTGGCTTGACACTTTAAAACTCCTAAGTCTGTTTTGGTGAGTCAAACATTTCTGAGAATTCCCTGCTTTTCCATGCAAGTACACAGAAAACCAGAAGGGGCAGAGCACAAGTGCAGACATCAGATACGACACTGATTAAGTCAGACAAAGCAGGAAAGGTGGAGTTGCTTTGTAAAGGAGCTTAAATGTGCACTAACTGTATAAATAGTATGCTTTGCTCTTCTGTGTAAGTGTGTGTGTGAGAGAGATCTAATCTGACTCACAACATCAGCATCATTATCATTTCCACTGTCTAGCCATGTCCTTTGACCTCTATGCCAAATATGGTAACAACCGCACCCTGAGCCTTGTGAGTCCCAAGAAGCCATACTACCAGTGGAGACTTCGTGTGCCCTCGGGTCACGTGGTTCGACTGGTTGTCCTCACCCTTCATGGCGCCACACCAGGAAGCTGCACCGCTCACAAGCTTTCTGCATATGACTTCTTACTTCCTTTACAGAACAAGATAATCGCCAGGTAAAGAGCATTTTATGAGCTTTGATATTTGTGTACACGCAGTAGTAACTGATAAGTAACATTTATTTTTATTCATTTAACTTGGTTCCGTCTCTAAAAATGATGCGCGTGACTGCCGCAGGTGGTGTGGGCTGCCTATTTCAGGCTCATCTCCGGTTATGAAGCTGACATCCTCTGGGAATGTGATGCTAGTCACGTTCTCTTTCAGCAGACAGAGGGATGGAGCCATCTTTAAAGCTTACTTCCAGGCCATCCCAAAAGCAGGTTTGAGTGCTCTCACACAGACATAATCTAATTTCATTTTGAATTGCATACATATGTGTGTACTTTGTGCACTTATCTGCGTCACCATCTTCCTGGGCAGGTTGTGGAGGGTCAATTTCCTCCTGGAATGGCTCTATTTCCTCACCCTACTACCCTTCCTATTATCCTCCAAATATAGACTGCATATGGACACTGAGGGTGAGCTACATAAAAATGTTTGTGTACATACACAGAGTGTGTGCATGTGTTAGGAAACAATGGAATATTCTTCTGTAGCCTGTTGACATTCCAGCATCGCAATACTTTCCTTAATCATCTCTGGTTACTTCCTCAGGTGCCATTACCAGGATACCTGATCTCCATAACTATCGTGACAATGGACATTCAGGATTCTCCATCATCAGATGGCTGTGAGAAGGACTGGCTGGACATCGGAGGAGTGAAGTAAGCTGATTATAACTCCTGGTGTGTTTTATCTCCATGTTTTGGAGCATGCTTAAGGGTTAAAAGTGAAACTCCTCATTTTACTGTATCTTCAGATTGTGCAATCCAGTGTCAAACAGCGGCAAAAAGCGAGTCTACTCCTCTCCTCTCACCCTCCACTTCCACTCTGATGAATCTCTCACCAACAAGGGCTTCTACTTGCTATACCGAGCCTTCGCCCCAGAGGGCAGTAAGTGAAACTGAATGCTTTCACTATAAGTAGATATTACTCTTTATTTCTTAGAGCTGTAGATCCCTACTAAGGCTGTAATTAAGTTATTTTTGTCCAGATTTACACTGGGCTTTCCTTCACTATCATAAAAATTCCTTAATTGTAAATATCTGAAGTGATCCTGATTGCATAATGTAAAATTTAGTTTCATCCCCTGTAAACTCCTGAAAAATTCCCATCTTTTGTTACTGCACAAAGTGTTGTTATTTCGTTATTATATGGTTGGTTTGAGTTCTTCCTCTACTTTATGCTTTTGTGGTTTTTTAAAATTTCTTTGCTGTCTGTCATTAGCGTGCCCTCGCCAGTTTCGCTGTGGAGATAGTCGCTGTATCCCTCTGAAGAAGGTGTGCGATGGAGTAAAGGACTGCTCAGACGGACGGGACGAGGCTAAATGCTGTAAGTATTGTTGCCTAAGTCCTGTGCGCTGTCCTCACACGCTTAATCTTGTATTCTTTGTTTTGGGATCTCTGGTTTGAATTATGTTTATACATCTTGATGCAGATATAGACACAAACCCTGGTTTAGACCCACATTTATTTGTGCTCTGTATCAAACCTTTAGCATCCTGCAAGCCTGGGGAACTGTTGTGTGGGAACAACCAGTGCAAACCTCAAAGCCAGTGTGTCAGTCAGAGCATTTGTGCGGACAGCAGTGAGGAGGGCAGCTGTGGTGAGCAGAAAACACCGCCGCTCTT